CTTAGCAGCAGCATCAATGCTGGGACATGTGCCACTTGCAGATGAGTAGAGGGATGTTCCTTTCTTGCTGGACATTTTTGAACATAGCATTCATACACATTTGACCGTCAAATGATTATTGAATTGAATTGAATTGAATTGAATTGAATTTAACAGAGTCCTATAACAACTTTAGTCCCTCTGAAATTGATAATCTTGTCGATAGTGCTACAGGCTCACTACGATCAACATTAGACTCTATCGCTCCTATAAAAGGAAATTATTAAAACATAGGAGACTAGCACCTTGGTATAACCACCAAACCCGCCAGTTAAAGCAAATAGCTAGGAAATCTGAAAGGAAATGGCGCCTTCCAAATTATCAGAATATCGCTCAAATTGGCAAGATGATCTTAAGATTTATAGAAAGGCCCTCCGTAATGCCAAGGAGCCTATTACTCAGCACTAATAGAAAAAATAAGAACAACCCTAGGTTCCTCTTCAGCACTGTAGCCAGGCTGACAGAGAGTCACAGCCTATCGAGCCACATATCCCCATAAACTTAAGTAGCAATGACTTCATGAGCTTCTTCTATAATAAAATTATTACTATTAGAAAAAATTAATCACCAACTGCCATCAACAGTTATCAGTGGCTCTCCAAGTTCAGGGACTTCTGTCAATGTAAACTTAGATGTATATTTAGACTGTTTTTCTGCTATCGATCTTCATCAGTTAACTTCAATCATTTCTTCATCGAAGCCATCAACCTGTCTGTTAGACCCGATCCCAACTAGGCTGCTTAAAGAAGTTGTTCCCTTAATTGGCACTTCTTTACTGGATATGATTAATCTTTCTTTATTATCAGGATATGTACCACAGTCCTTAAAGTAGCTGTAATTAAACCCCTTCTTAAAAGTCTACTCTTGACCCAGGGGTTTTAGCCAACTATAGACCGATTTCTAACCTCCCGTTCCTCTCTAAGATTCTGAGAAAGTAGTCGCCAAAGAGTTGTGTGACTTTCTACATAACAATAGTTTATTGAGGATTTTCAGTCAGGATTTAGAGTTCATCATAGCACAGAGACAGCTCTGGTTAAAGTTAATAATGACCTTCGACTGCTTCTGACAATGGACTTGTCTCTGTACTTGTATTATTAGATCTTAGTGCTGCATTTGACACCATTGACCATGATATTGTTTTACAGAGACTTGAGCATCAAATTGGCATTAAAGGAACTGCCCTAACCTGGTTTAAGTCATACTTATCAGATCGTACTCAGTTTGTACATGTTAACGATGAATCCTCCATAAATACTAAAGTTAGTCATGGAGTTCCACAAGGTTCTGTACTTGGACCAATACTATTTACTTTATATATGCTCCCTTAGGCAACATTATTAGGAATCACCCATTAACTTTCACTGTTATGCAGATGATACGCAGTTATATCTATCAATCAAACCCAATGAAATTAATCAATTATCTAAATTACAAACATGTCTTAAGGACATAAAATCCTGGATGACCTGCAATTTTCTGATGTTAAACTCAGAAAAAACCGAAATTCTTGTTCTTGGCCCCAAAAACCTTAGAGACTCATTGTCTAAAGATATAGTCACTCTAGATGGCATTAACTTGGCCTCTAGCACCACTGTCAGGAATCTTGGAGTTCTCTTGATCAGGATTTGTCATTTAACCCCACATAAAGCAGACCTCTAGGACGCCCTTTCATTACGTAATATTAGAAAAATTAGACACATACTATCACAGACAGATGCAAAAAACTAATCCATGCATTTGTTACTCAAGGCTGGATTACTGCAACTCTTATTATCAGGTTGCCCCAATAAGTCCATTAAAACGCCCAATTAATTCAGAACGCTGCAGCACGAGTACTGACAGGAACTAGAAAAGAGATCACATCTCCCTGTACTAGCTACTCTGCATTGGCTCCCTATAAAATGTAGAATTGAATTTAAAATACCCTCCTCACCTATAAAGCCTTCATGGTCAGGCCCCTTCATATCTTAAAGAGCTCATAGTACCCTATTACCCCACTAGAACACTACGTTCTCTGAATGCTGGGCTACTTGTGGTTCCTATAGTCTCTAAAAGTAGAACAGGAGCCAGAGCCTTCAGTTACCAAGCTCCTCCCTGTGGAACCGGCTTCCAGTTGTGGTTCGGGAGGCAGACACCCTCACCACTTTCAAGAGTAGGCTTAAGACATTCCTCTTGATAAAGCTTATAGTTAGGGCTGGATCAGGTGAGTCCTGAACCATCCCTTAGTTATGCTGCTATAGGCCTAGACTATCGGGGATTTCCCATGGTGCACTGAGCTACTCTCTTCCTCTCTCTTTCTGCACTCATTCATGTCCCTTTAATGCATGTTACTAACTTCACTTCTTCCCCGGAGTTCTTGTGCTTTCCGTCTCGCAGGTTCTCATGGATCCTGGTGGAGCCTCCTGCCATGGTCCTGCTTGACTGCCATTGCCAATACTGTTGTTGCTGTGCACCTGTCTGTCTGTCTGTCGCTCTCTCTCTCTCTCTCTCTCTCTCTCTCTCTCTCTCTCTCTCACCCCAACTGGTCGAGACAGACGACCACCCACCTAGAGCCGGAGGATCTGTCCTAGGTTTCTGCCTTTTAACAGGCAGTTTTTCCTTGCCCTTGTCGCCAAGTGCTTGCTCATGGTGGTACTGTTGGGTCTCTGTAATTAATGTTAAAGAGTTCGGTCTAGACCTGCTCTATTTGAAAAGTGTCCTGAGATAACTTCTGTTATGAATTGGCGCTATACAAATAAAATTGAATTGAATTGAATTGAATTGAATTTTTGTACCAATCTGATACCAAGTAAATACAGGGCTAGTATCGCTGATACCGATTCCAATACTTTTTACTTGAAATGTCATGATCATTGAATAATTTTGTGATTTTGCCTTTAGTCAGTTGATTATGATTATGATAAAACACAGGACAAATATTTTAGGCAAATAAAAATGTTTTTATTAACTAACTGCAACAATATAAAACAATGTAACAGTATAAAAATAATAAAACAATTCCCTTATTACCTTCTACTACACACAATTGTTTGATTGTTAAGATAATTAAGTGACAGCTAATTAAGTGTAACTGTAATCTGCATGTAGCCTAAATAGGAATACTATTTTTCCTTCAACAGTTAACACAAAAGGGTTATTATATTCAGCCATATTCATATTTCAGGTTTGAGGTATATAAGTGTATATTTTTGAGTTCCAGTAAAACAATTAAGTTTTTTTTTTTAACTGGCTGAGTATATGATAATAGTTTAATCAGTCTGCTAAAATTGCATCTCTGATCATCTATTACACTGTGAAAAACAGTTTATGCTGAATACTACCTGGATATTCCTGATTTTTTGCCTGAAAACCTCTGCCAGAGACCTTCATTTTAATTAATTGATGAAGTACAATTATATAAAGAGGGCGACGGGTCGCAACTTTTTTTGCAACTTGGATTTGCTCCCGCAACTTTATTGCAACGAAATGCCTAAAAACACAGCAACTGTCATCGCAAATTTTCAGAAAAGCTGCCGTAAATTTGATGCCACTTGGAGATCGACTCGGAGATTTTTGCATTAAAGGCTCTTCAGGCTAGATGTTGGGTTTATGAGCCTTTATGTAATTGAGAAGCTGGTCTTGAGTGACTTCTTGAAATTTGGGGTCAATTTTGGGCACGGCTTGATATGGTAGATATACAACTTATGTGTCCTAGGGCCACCATATACGTTAGTTTTTACAAAAGCTAGTGCAATACACTTATATCTGGCTGAACAGGCCTTGGTCATATACTTGCAAAGTAGGAAAAATGATTTGAGCGAGTTTGACAAGGGCCAAATTGTGATGGCTAGATGACTGGGTCAGAGCACCTCCAAAACTGCACCTCTTGTGGGCTGTTCCCTGTCTGCAGTGGTCAGTATCTATCAAAAGTAGTCCAACGAAGGAACAATGGTGAACCGGCGATAGGGTCATGGGCGGCCAAGGCTTGATTCACGTGCAGAGCGAAGGCTGCCCTGTGTCATCCAATTCAACAGACAGTCTACTGTGGCTCAAATTGTTGAAGAAGTTTGCTCTGTCAGTGCCAGTGGGCTCTGGCGCATGTTCTGCTGCGACAGTACAGTCTGTATTCTCATCTTGCAATACTGACTGTGAAAGCAAGTTTCCCCTGGGGGACAATAAAGCATCAATTGAATTGAATTGAATTGAATTAATGCTGGTTCTGATAGAAAGCTGTCAGAATTCATGCATCGCAGTTTGTTGCATATGGAGCTGTATAGCTGCAGACCAGTCAGGATGCCCATGCTGACCCCTCTCCACTGCCAAAAATGGGCATGTGAGCATCAGAATGGACCACGGAGCAATGGAAGAAGGTGGCCTGGTCTGATGAATCATGTTTTCTTTTACATCATGTGAATGGCTGGGTGCATGTACGTTGCTTAGCTGGTGAACACATTGGCACATGGCAAGCAGGCGGAGGCAGTGTGATGCTTTGGTCAATGTTCTGCTGGGAAACCTTGGGTCCTGCCATCCATGTGGACATTATTTTGACATGTACCACCTAACTAAGCATTGTTGCAGACCATGTACACCCTTTCATGGAAACGGTATTCCCTGATGACTTTGGCCTCTTTCAGCAGGATAATGCGCCGTGCCACAAAGCAAAAATGGTTCAATTCAATTCAATTCAATTCAATTCAATTTTATTTGTATAGCGCCAATTCATAACAGAAGTTATCTCAGGACACTTTTCAAATAGAGCAGGTCTAGACCGAACTCTTTAACATTAATTACAGAGACCCAACAGTACCACCATGAGCAAGCACTTGGCGACAAGGGCAAGGAAAAACTGCCTGTTAAAAGGCAGAAACCTAGGACAGATCCTCCGGCTCTAGGTGGGTGGTCGTCTGTCTCGACCAGTTGGGGTGAGAGAGAGAGAGAGAGAGAGAGAGAGAGAGAGAGAGAGAGAGAGAGAGAACAGACAGACAGGTGCACAGCAACAACAGTATTGGCAATGGCAGTCAAGCAGGACCATGGCAGGAGGCTCCACCAGGATCCATGAGAACCTGCGAGACGAGAAAGCACAAGAACTCCGGGGAAGAAGTGGAGTTAGTAACATGCATTAAAGGGACATGAATGAGTGCAGAAAGAGAGAGGAAGAGAGTAGCTCAGTGCACCATGGGAAATCCCCCGATAGTCTAGGCCTATAGCAGCATAACTAAGGGATGGTTCAGGACTCACCTGATCCAGCCCTAACTATAAGCTTTATCAAAGAGGAATGTCTTAAGCCTACTCTTGAAAGTGGTGAGGGTGTCTGCCTCCCGAACCACAACTGGAAGCTGGTTCCACAGGAGAGGAGCTTGGTAACTGAAGGCTCTGGCTCCTGTTCTACTTTTAGAGACTATAGGAACCACAAGTAGCCCAGCATTCAGAGAACGTAGTGTTCTAGTGGGGTAATAGGGTACTATGAGCTCTTTAAGATATGAAGGGGCCTGACCATGAAGAGCTTTATAGGTGAGGAGGAGTATTTTAAATTCAATTCTACATTTTATAGGGAGCCAATGCAGAGTAGCTAGTACAGGAGAGATGTGATCTCTTTTTCTAGTTCCTGTCAGTACTCGTGCTGCAGCGTTCTGAATTAATTGGAGCGTTTTAATGGACTTATTGGGGCAACCTGATAATAAAGAGTTGCAGTAATCCAGCCTTGAAGTAACAAATGCATGGATTAGTTTTTCTGCATCTGTCTGTGATAGTATGTGTCTAATTTTTCTAATATTACGTAAATGAAAGAAGGCAGTCCTAGAGGTCTGCTTTATGTGGGAGTTAAATGAAATGAAGTTCAGGAATCGTTTGGGTTTTGCCAGCAAAGGGGGGACCAACACAATATTATAAAGATTGGTCATAATGGCATATCTGATTGGTGTAAGTGGAAAGGTCATGGTCAGGAGTAGAACAAAAGGTGGGTAATAATAGGAGGTAAGTCAAAGTACAATTTCTCTCCCTCTATTGGCTCAAGCCCTCTTCGGATCACCCAGCATACAGAAGTAAAATGGAACCACAACAGGAACTACCATAATGGACCTCCAGGAATCAGTTCAAACCATCTTCTAGCTCTTCTTAACCTAATAAAAAGAGGAACCATCTCATCAGCCCTCCATCTTGCAGTAACTACATATTCCACTAAGGGGCATGGTAAGCTCACAACTTGCAATTTACACCAGTAGACAACCTCCAAAGTGGAAGCCTAGGAGACTTACAATAAAATTAACAACTCTATAACCTAATGGTTTCATGGATAAATTTAATAATTACTCCCAAGGTTAAAACCTACTTTTTACATCCAGGACAAAGGTTATGAGACCATATTACTCTTCATTCTTTAAGGATTATAATTATGGATAATCATGATAATAACTATCATTAAGGTCCAACTTAATACAACACCAGTAGACAACCTCCAAGTGGAAGCCTAGGATACCTACAATAAAATGAATAACTCTATAACCTGATGGTTTCATGGATACATTTAATAATTAATCCCAAGGTTAAAACCTACTATTTACATCTAGGACGAAGGTTATGAGACCCTATATTACTCTTCATCCTTGAATAATTATAGTTATGGATAATAATAATAATAATAATAATTATTATTATTATTATTATTATTATTATTATTATTAAGGTCCAACTGAAAACAATATAAGGAAACAAAAGAAAAATGTTCTTACCTATGAACACCAGCCTTTCTGCCTGCACTACCCCCTTTCCCCACCAGGGGAGGTATTACATTTAGATAGATAGATACAATACAATAAAATACAACAACAGAATAAAATACTTACGTAGAAAAGATAAAAAAGATAAATAGATAGATAAGGTGCAAAGAAGTTGTAGTTGCAAGATGGTGGTAAATAGTACTGATGATATGATGGTAGTGCTATTGTTAATAACAGTATATAATAATAATATAATATAATAATAATATGTATATATAATATGATGACTGAACAGATATACATGTATACACAGATATTATACATTAATAATTATATAATGTAGATATGTGTCATATATTCCGCCTGTGCAAGGTGTGCATACAATATATATATGTACACATATATATATATTTACACAAGACATGATATATAGCATATGTATAATAGATACTTGACTATACAATAAAGATATACATACAATATGTATATATATTGTAATATAATAATATATTGTATAAATATGATATATAATATCAACATGGTTTATATTAACACATATCACATATCATATGAAGTATATGTTCCACAGGTAGATTTAGTCTAGTTCTGTGATTGTGGATCTGACAGAGGCTCCCACTTTCCCCTAACCTTAGTTTATCTTTTGCTTACAGATACACTTTAATAAGGTCCTATCTTTAAGCATTTTGGTTTGTTCTGTTGCCTGGATTGCTGTGTTTTTATGTAACCACAAGATGGCGCCTCAAGTTTTGGACCTTTGCGCGGCCTGACCCGCCGACGACGCACGACAAAGGATTATAGCATGGCATGAGAGCCTTGCTTTTACAGCACCGTTGATCTAAGATCACACACACACACATATTCGGCCTAAACCTCAGCACATACTCGAGGAGAGGGATTCAAACCCTCCCACCTCTCTATTGCTCTTTGTCTCTCACCAACACGTGTTTCATACCCTGAAACATCTGGTCAGAGGACAAAGGACACACACCTTTTTGGCGCGCGACCCCGATGCACACACATACACACACACCATTTCCCTCTAAATTATATGTAGTGTATTTTTCTCTGTTTGCTTTGATTATATCTCTTTAATAAATGCTTGTGTTTATATATGCTGGCCTACTTAATTTCATACAAGAGTGAGTGATACCAACCTCTTCTATGTAGAACTCCAAAGCTCCCACTTTAGTTATTGTTAATGATTTTGGTTGTAGTTATTAATTTAATTATTAATCTGACTTCTGAATGAATAGTTTAGTGTATTTTCATGAGACTGATCAATCGATTATTAGTTATCGTTTCCCTTATTTAAGGGTGGTGCCCTGAGGATCTTTAACATTAACTAAAGACATTTTCTATTATCTTTTGATAATTATAAATTTTGATAACCATTAATTGATTAAACTAATACAGTTAGACCACTGTACTACACCCTACGACGTGGAGCCCGACACTAATAATGTTCCACCTTTTATGCTGTGTTTAGGAACTTTATGTACAATTAAATAATTTATTAAAACGTAAAACATGTAGTCATAACAGCCTTAACTGAGCCTAAACAAAGTGTAAGTGTGTGTGGTCTGTATTTTACTATACAATACACACATAAAAAGGAGAATATAGCGTATTTTGACAGTATTATCTAAGTTACATTGTCACTGTATGAAAGTATTTTTTTGTCATAATGTGTAGGGGGCTGTAATATAGTGTTCAGTGTGCCTCGAGAAACAACGGCATTTTCCATGCAGGTTTCCAAATCTATAAAAATCTACAAGCGGTAATAATTTGTGTACTGGTACACATCTGTAACACCATGCGTACCCCACATAGACATCTTACAGTGTGATTATGCAAGTTTATTTTTCCACTACTTTGTGTTAGGATGCAATCTGTAGTTCAAAAAACTTTACTAACATAGTGATGTGTGTTAACAACCTTGTTTTTTTTTACCATAATTTCTTTCTATTGAGTAAATGTTGGTCACTTCATTATCTGATAAAATTTTTTATATAAATAATCAAATACATAATCTTGAAAAAAAACCCAGAAATTATCCTGGATTATTGAGGAATTAGAACACCACTATATAAAAGGCTGTAGCTGTGTGTAATGGGTGTGCCAAATGATACAGCGGCTGCTTTAGCGTTGCTGGAAGAAATTGCTATTCTGTAATTCAGACGAGAATGAGTATTTAAAGACTGTTTGAAATAAGACCACTTTTTATTAATCTCCTCCAGGATCCGAGGCTCAGAGCTAACAGCGTTCACTGCCTCTGTATAACCAATAGAATGACGCAAGGTGAATGGCAGAAGCTTACAGAGTTTAGGGATCCACATTTTTTGTCAGTTTGATCCACCATTACCTCCAGTTCACATTCTGTAAATCTGCACTTTACTTACTTCTTCAATGCTTCCATAATTTCTCCTCAAAAGGAAATACTAATCCTTCATATGCAAATCAGGCAATTGGTGTTGTGTTTCAAGCCATTTATAGTTAATTGTGGGAATGATCAGTGCATACAATTTCAGGATGATTGAGATGTGTGAAGGAAAAACGTGGGAACAGACGTATGTGAGGTTTTATAAATCTGACGAAAAGTCTGCATATGCGTTTCCTGTTTTGTGTGTACACAGATTTCTACACCTAAATATACACTGAATTTTATGCATCTGGCCCCAGCTGTTTTTAGTAAAGAACTATGTAGATCCATGCAACAACAAACATTTATTTATCAACACAGGATGTGATAAACCCATGATAAAATGATCAACTTTATTTTCCAGGAGCTGTGGCTGGGACTGCTCACCATGTGACAAATGGAATTTGAACTCTAACTGGACTGATTTTCTGTATAACATTAATAATGTTTCTTTTAAATGTACAAAAAGTGTTTTGATGACCTGATGATCCACAGAGGGAGAGGTTCTTGCTCTGTAGGTTCAGTGTCCTCAACCTGGCAACCCAGGTGAGCTTCTACTCTGGGGAGGAGGGGCTGGAGGGAGACAACTTGCTACAATGTTTTGAATTTGGACTGCAGTACCCATTTGAAACACTTACCATCAGTCTTACATATTGCTCCTTTAAACACTCCAACCCTTGGGCTTATATAGCTGTGTAATTATGTCTCATATCAATTCAACAAACATATAATCTAAAAGAACATCCCACCAAATTAATGCTGCTAAACATTTGAATACTATACTGAATACTGAAAACTTTACCAGGCGTTTGGACTTTCTTGATGTCATTTTTTCAGCAGGTGCTTGTTTTCCTGCTGTTTCCTCTTGTCCATTTATATAGCAGCTACTACTCTCTTCTGTTGAAATGTCTCAGTCGTTGTTTCTTCCTAAATGACAACCAAGTCCTGTCCAGTCCATCTGCATTTCCTGCCTGGAGCTGCCTCTGGGTCGGTGTTCACTAACTGCAGCCTGTGATGTAAGGTTCTACTGAAGGTTCAAGAATGTTTATGGATCAAAGACATCCAAGCTCCTACAGAATTCTGACACATGCACACACACACACACACACACTCTTTCTTTTACTTTTTTGTTTCTATTTTTAATTATAACATGTGGATAACGAGTAAAAAACTAAGAATTTATGAAACATCAACAGAAATGAGGACATGGATAAAATGCACAAACATAAATAAAAAGAAAGCAGGAAGACAAAGAAGAACAAAACAAAAGTGGGTGAGTGGTGGGTTGTTTTGTCATTTTGAGTTATAATGACAGGGGTTGAGAAAATCTGAATAGGAGCGGGGTTGTGTAGAGAAATCAGCTCTGGATGAAGTGCAAGAAAGGGTATTATGAAATGGGATAAGATTGTCTCATAGGGTTGATGTGAGCTTTTCTACGTTTACATGGTCTGATAACAAATTGAGCCAATGGTTTATTGATAGTTTAGT